GCCATGCCTGTTGTACTCTCAGAACTTCATGCTTAGATCATCAAAGTCCCTGCTAGTGGAACGTGCCAAACAAGCAAAGAAGGGAAGAGGGAATGGGCCTTCAGCTCCTGAACTCATCCTAGTGGTCTCAGGGTCTGCAGCCTACCTGGATCCCGGGCCTCCACTGCTGGCTCCCAACACAGGGCCCTGCAGCTGTCCCAGCTAGTGACAGGAGTGAGTTCTGGGTCTGTTGTGAAGACAATCAGGAGGATTAGGGCTGGACTTGGTGGCTCATGCTTGTAGTTCTAGGACTTTGGGAGGCTGAGGTGGGAGGATCCCTTGAGCCCAGTGCTGTGATCATGCTACTGCACAGCAACCTGGGTGACAGAGCAAGACCTTGTCTCCAAAAATTGAAAAATAAAAATAAGTAAATACGAATCTACAGGATTGGCAGGCAGATCCAATGTGGGCGGGTAAGAAAAGGGGAGTCATGGGTGGTCCCGGGGTGTTTGGCCTGAGCGACAAGAAGTCTGGAGTCGCCTTGAACTACCCTTGAGAAGGTGCAGGTGGAGTCAGCCAGGGAGGTTCAGCGACAGCTGGCAGGGGTGGGTGGCACAGAGCCTGGGTTCAGGAGAGATGGAGGTGTGTAGGAGGGGCTGAATGGGGGCGAGGGGAGCGTGAAAGAAGAGCTGTCCAAGGCCTGAGCTCTGGCCACTGACATTAGAGGTTCAGGATACAAGGGGAGACCAGCTAAGGGCTCCCAGGGAGGAACGTGGGGAGGACCAGGTGCCAGGAGTGACGTGCCCTGTAGCGGAGTGAAGCGAGTTGGCAGGGCATCAAGTGGGGCCTGGCCCAGTTGTCCTCTGCCTTTGAGCTACTTATGTTTAAAATTTTGAAGCTATAATTAGAATATGATGCGTTCATGTCACTTTGGAACCCATAATTGTATGAGCGATTCTGGAATCCATCAGACATCACGGCTTCTCTTTGTGTATGATATCAAGAGACAGATTTGTTGCATATTTATGTGTAATTTAGTCAGTTAATTTCTTATGATTGAAATAACTCCTTTCATTTTTAGGTTTATCTTGACTTAGCATATGACAATCATTTAGAAATAAGAGAAACTGCAAAAGAGAAAAGAATAATAGTATTATGAATAAGTTTATAATTATCCTTTTTATGAGCAAAATTACCATAAGAAATCTCTGATATTTTAGAAAAATGCATAATTGTCTCATTCTTTGCTTATTTAATTTTTCCCTCAAGGAACAAAACTTTTTTTTTTTTAAATCCTTTACTGGCTGTTAAAAGAATAGAAATCTGCCACCCTTAATGGAATTTAGTCTTTGTTATCTTGGCATTGATTCTAATGAAAAATTAGAATTTTGTCTCCCTCCAGCCACAGGTCACATAGAAGAGTTTTCCTAAGCACTTTTATAAGATGTAGGTCAGGAATAAAACCTTCAGAGAGGCGCTATTGATTTGTTCATCTTGCTTTAATTGGTTACTTTTAAAGGGAGTCATTTCTGCTTACGTCTTGGTTTCTAAGTATCATTTCTCACTGAGAGGAACCAGGAATCTTGGCGAAGTGACTGATCCAGGCTGGGGAAGGGATGATACAAAAGCCTGAGACATTTTTTTGTTGAGCCAGAATATAAGTAAGGCTGTGCTCAAAATATTTGAAGGGAGCACGTCCAAAGGACAAGAAGCCAGAGGCAAGAGGGTCCCAGTGGCCAAATTAGGATGATTTGAACATTAGAATAAACAAGGACAGTAATTGATTGTAACCACCCAGTGACATAAGAAGCTGGGTGTTCACACTTAGAGTAGATAGAGAGCGAGGGAAAGAGAGAGGGAAAGTGGGAGAGAGAGAGAGGAAGGGAAGGGAGAAAGGAAAGCTCTTCCTTACAGTAGAATGCTGACTTGTGCATCCAGAAGAAATGATGGAATTAGCAAATAGCCACTTTTCAACTATTATTATAAAAAATCCACACAGGCAGAATCATCCCACGGCTGCTTCTAGTGTGGGAATATCTGGAGAGTAACAGGACATTTATCAGGGGGGGACCCCAAAAAACTGGAATTCTCTTTTGGAGGGCAGGCCCCTTGTAGTACACTTGGGATTTGTTCCTCTGGATCAAACGGTCAATCAAAGTTTTTATCTGTATGTTTTGAGAAGGTTGTGATATGATTTGCAGAAGAAACGTCCTGAGTTGTAGCAAACAGGTTCTTCTACCATGACAACACACCTGCCTACGCTGCCCTGAGTGTTCAGCAGTTTTTCACAAAAAACAGCATAACCCTCAAGCCCCATCCTCCCTATTCACCTGATCTTACCCTGAATGATTATTTTTGGTTTTGTTTTCCTGGATGAAAAAAATTCTAAAAGGGAAACGTTTTGCTGATGTGGAAGAGGTGAAACAAACAAACAAAAAAAACAGCAGAAGTACTAAAAGGCATCCAAATTGATGAGGTTAAAAACTGTTTTTGAGCAGTGGAAGAAAGCGTCTCGATAGGAGTATGGAATCAAACAGAGAGTCCTTTGAAGGTGACTGAAGTTTAAACATGCAAGAATAAACACACAATTATTTACAAATAAATTCCAGTCTTTGGGGTCCCCTCTCATCTCAAAGTATCTCTCCATAAACTGCTCACTCACTGTGAAAGGAAAACTCGCAACGTTTGCTGTGGAGACACCAGCTTCCACATTCACCAAGTGGTTAGTGTCACCACCAGCAGCAGAAGGGCCTCCTGGGCCCCTGTGGAGCCCCGATAAGTCCACAGTCTCAAGATGGGTCATTGCCAAAGACTCCACACGGGACCAGTCATGAGCAACATCACAGGACTCCCGGTGAGGGCCACTGGGTCCAATGACTGAAGAGTGTATGTCATGAAAGACAAAGAAAGATCACGGAGACCTGAGAAAGGAGACCAAGAAAACGTTATAGCTACAGGCAAAAGCAATTCCGGACTGGATCCTGCCCTGGGGAGTTGTTGTACAAGACATTACTGGGACAATGACAAAATTAGAGTGTTAAATTTCCTGAATATGATAACTGCAGAGATGATGTAAGAAAAGATTCCTTTTTAAGGAAAATGCACACTGAATTATTACGGGGGTGGAGGGACATATTGTATGTGACCTCAAATGGTTTAGAAAACAATGTTTATAGAGAGAAGGAGAAAGCAGATGTGACAAGGTGTTAAAGCTGAGTGAACCTAGGGAATGGTGTACAGGAGCTCTTTGTTCTCTTGTTGCAACATTTTTGGAAGTTTGAAATTATTGCCAAATATCCAGTTAAAAGAAGAAAGTGGAAGGACTGTTTCTTGGATGTGAAGGTGGTCATATATTTTTCGGACCTGCAGATAAATTGTCAAGCAGTTGTTAATTTGTTGACATGATTAAAATGTCAATACTTTTAGCAAACAATAAAAATTCTTTCTTTATTGGTAAATAGGTAATAAAATGGTACAAAAGTGGTGTAAGTTGGGTTGACCATCAAGAAATTCATTGCCAGTATATTATGGATATATTTTAAAATTATGAAATATTTCATAATATTTCAAGATGATAGAATGTGTGTATTTTTTCATGGCCTAATTATACCATATTTCACAGACTTCAGATGTTGATTTTAAGGTGTACCATTACCATTAAGAAAGAAAAAGGATATTGTCAGTTATAATTCTAAGACAATGCCAATTGTACGATGTGTCCCAATTTTGGAGATGTTAAAAATGTAGGCTGGGCTTGGTGGCTCAGCCTGTAATCTCAGCACTTTGGGAGGCCAAGGTGAGTGGATTGCCTGAGCCTGTGGGTTCGAGACCTGCCTGGGCAACTTGGCGAGACCTTGTCTTAACAATAAATCAAAAATTCCCACATATGATAGTGCGTGCCTGTAGTTCCAGCTATTTGGAAGGCTGAGACGGAAGGATCGCTGGAGCCTAGCAGGTTGAAGCTGCGGTGACCAGGAGCATGCCGCCGCACTCCAGTCTGGACAACAGAGTGAGACTCTAACCAAAAAAAAAATGTAGAAAAATATATCTTAAGTATATGAGACAGACTGGAGTGAGAGGATTGCTAAAGCCCAGGAGTTCGAGACCAGCCTGGGCAACAGAGAGATCTCATCTCTACAAAAAATAAAAACAATGAGCCAGGCATGGTGGGGCATGCCTATAGTCCTAGCTGCTGGGGAGGCTGAGGTAGAAGGATCACCTGAGTCCAAGAAGTCGAAGCCGCAGTGAGCTATGGTCATGCCACTGCATTCTAGCCTGGGAGACAGAGTGAGACTCACAGAGTGAGATATACTGAAATGCTTAAGTAGGTAAGTAATTTGAAGCTGCTTTTTATTTTAATTACTGGTACATCATGATTTTAGTCAGAAAACTGGAAATCTGTAATGCATCAACTAAAAATAGCACATTTTATAATTGATGCTAGAAGGCGCTATTTTAACTGTTGTTAATGTGTCTTATGTATTTTAATGAATTGTTTGATCATGCATTTGTGTCCTGAAGTGATCTTTTTTACAAGTAGCAATTTTCGCTCCAGTATTTTAATGGACTCTTAGATGTAGAAGGACATTTTGCAATCATTCCCTCTGACTCACAGCTCACTGAAATAATGGCTGTCACTTTCACAGATGCTGCAGTTGGAGAAGAAACTTGAACTTGAACTTCAGGATGATGCGAGAGTCATTGCTTGCCGGTTCCCTTTCCCACACTGGACCCCGGACCATGTCACCGGGGAGGGGATAGACACAGTGTGGGCCTACGACACCAGCACTTTCAGGGGAGCTGAGAAGAGACCTTGAAGAGCGATGCATTTCCAGCCAGTCATTCAAACATGAACTTCTCTGAGAAAGCGTTTCTGAGATCTCGGTGGTCTTCTCTGATTTTAGAGAGATTTACACCTGTGTCTTTAGCAACAAAGCATACCTTTCTTTGTATGAAATGAGAAATTACTACTCACCTCCTTAACTTTTAGAGAAAACAAACATGTTAAGAAAAGCAGATCGATTTAAAACCCAGTTTTAATGGTATATTCTAAAAAATGTGTTTACTGTCTTTTCATGCATTTGGATGCATGAAAATATGAATAAGTGATGGTCATGTTTATGGGTAGGAGAGATGTCTTCAGCTCTTCACATTATAAACAACATGACTGAGTGCCACAGATGAGGGGAAATGATTTTTAAAGAGTTTATATTAGCAAATGTTTGTAGTTTCCTACTTACTCATACTTAAGTTTTATCTCTTTCTTTGTTGTACTTCATGGCAAAATTAATTTTCTAAAGGCTTCAGAGAGGCATTTATATTTTATAACATTTTTTAGTAATAAATGGTTCCAAGGCTAGTAGATGTGTTTTGTCGAATCTGGGATGTATATATGCACATGTGTATATTCATGTGTGTATATACAGGTACACACTTTTACATTTTCTTCTTTCTTTATTTTTCTATTTTATTATTATTATTTTTAGAGATGAAGTCTTGCAATGTTGCCCAGGCTGGTCTCGAACTCCTGGGCTCAAGCCATCTTCTCGCGTCGGCCTCCCAAAGTGCTGGGATTACAGGCATGAGCCACCATTCCCAGCCCATTAACATTTTCTGAAATGGTAATGTATCTTCCATTTAAAGGTGTTTTATAGCTTTAATTGACCGTGTTGTACTTCATGATGTAGTACATCAACTACAACTGATAACATCTTAGACTTAATGAAATACGGTGTTCAGAGAAGATACATGATATGGTGGCCTAGTTGGCAGTGAGTCAATAGTAAAATCAAGGACCACAAGCTTTGGCATCAGCCTGACCTGGCTGAGATTCCTGTTTTGTCATCAGCAGGATGCCTTGGACATGTGAGCTTTGGCTTCCTGAGCATCCTGCTATTGGGATAATGATACACTCAACAGAGGACCAATTTGTAAAATTCATGGCACACAGTTTTGGTTCATAAATAGTATTTATTATAAAATCAAATCATTAATTAATTTTTTTAGAGATGAGGTCTTGCTCTGTCTCTGAAACAGATGGAGTGCAGTCAATCACTGTATTCTCAAATGTCTGGGCCCAAGAGCTTTTCTCGTCTCAGCCTCCCAAGCAGCTGGGACTATAGGTACACACCACCATGCCTGGCTAATTTTTTTGTAGAGATAGGGTCTCGCTATGTTGCCTAATAAGCAGGTCTTAGACACCTGGCCTCAAGCAATCCTTCTGCCTTAGTCTCCCAATTGCTGGGAATACAAGTGTGAGCCACTGTTCCCAACTGGTATTTATTATTTTAGACACTAAGGAAAAGCTTATTCATGGAAGTTACAGATCATTTCTGTTAGTAACTTCTTTATTTTATGAGATCAGGCATTTAATATTTCTCATTTATGAGAAGAGACTTGACTTATTTAGATAAAAGACAAATAAGGAAAACCGTTGAATATGAGTAGACAAGCTTCATAAATCTGAAAAATGAATTTTTTTTGAGGACGCAAACAAAACCTTTATTATTTTAAAGCCAGTAATGTATGTATATAATTAATCCACATATCTTCCAAAACATCCTGAATAGATTTCCTGGCAAAAAGTAAATTCTCAAAAAACTATACACTGAATGAATGTAAAATTAAGTAATAAAACTAAGCTTATTATTAAAAAGACAATATGATATTTCTCCAACATAGCATCTTTCCAACCAAACATACTGTACTCTCTTCACCAAATAAAGCTGTATTCCAGCCAATGTTGGAAGCTCAACAAAACATGATTTTTTTTATTTTGCTGACTTTTTAAAATGTCATTTCCATTGTCTACTATAGTCTATTGTTCTAACTTTACTGGTAAATGTGCCTTAGAGTTCTCATCATTCCTCCTTGCCTAACTGAAATTTCCTGATACTAAATCTGAATTAATCCTTCTTATTTCTGATCAGCTGCAGAACTGAGACTGGATTTCAAATCTGAAATAAACTCACATCTTTATAAATGTTAATGGATATACCTCCTTAAGTTAAAAGCTATTTGAGGCAGGTATTCTAGTTCATATTTTAATTGACCAAAACCAGAACATACCCCATTGGCTATCCTGGAGAAGTGATGGCTGCCTGTGCCCCACCTCTGAAAAATGAATATTCAATGGTAGCTCAAAGAATCCCTGCTTATCCCAGAAAAAAACGGAGCTCCTACTCATACAGCTGTAATCTAAATACCAAACCGTCCTAATGAGATTTAATAAGGTAAGGTAGTCATATCTTTAACTGAACTTTAAGCAAATGTGGTCCATTTTATTTTTTTCATTTAAATAAGAACCATCGGGGGACACATTTATTCATTCAACAAATAATGTACTGAGTATCTACTGTGTAATACACTCTACAATTCCACTGTCAGTAGATAGGCAAAACCCCGAGTTTCGTGGGCTTTGTATCCCAGAAAGGGGAGATGGGTAAGCAAGCCAGCCCTAGCGACTGTGAAGGTCTCTGAAAGCAATAAACAACGTGATAGGAGAGGGCGCACCTGTGTGTGTGAGGGGCTAGGGCATGGGGTGTGGTGGGCTTTTGTCAGGTGTTTGGTTGCTGCCATCTGACCTTTTCCCACTCATCCCTGCTCTTCTTATGATGAACGTGTTTCCTTCCGTGGTGTGTAGTGTTGGCAGGAGAGTTGCCCCCCCACTGTCACCTTCCACTGTAACCTGTGGATCTGGGCGCTCTTGGTGAGGGACCCACAGGAATCCTTGCCATGAAGATGCGGGGAGAGTAGCGTTTTGTGGGGCCTGGGAGGTGTTCCGCAGTGTCCTAGGTATGTTCCTAGTGGATCTGTAGAGGCATCAAGCTATGTGCAGAGTTGTATTTATTTATTAATGTTTTTGAGTTGGGGCCTTGCTCTATGACCCGGGCTGGAATGCAGTGACACATTCATTGCTCACCACAGCCTCGACCTCGTGGGTTCAGGAGATCCAGCTCAGTCTCCCAAGTGCTGGGATTACAGCACATGCTACCATCTTCAGGCATTAAAAAGTTTTTTTTGTAGAGATGGGACCTTGCTATGTTGCCCAGGCTCCTGGGCTCATGCAACCTTTTTGCCTCAGCCTCTCAAAGCACTGGGATTACAGGTTTGAACCACCACGCCTGGCTTCACAGTTACTAATAACTTACCATTTGGGGGCATCTCCTTTGCTTCTCAAGAGTTAGATGAGGCTTGGTTCTTCAACCACAGAGTAAGACAGACCCATTTTATGAAGTGTTGTGATTCGTGGAGTCTGCAGGATCTTTAATTGTTTAAAATTGTGACTTGTTAAGTATATTGTACAATAAGGATTCTTCTATAGAGGTTATTGTGGCTTCACTAACTGGCCAATTTGAATTTTTCTCAATTATTAGGTTAAGGACATTAATCGGATTTGCACATGATACAAGTCATGGAATGAGAGCTGCTATGTTGGGTTTTATAAATGTCTGTACAGATTGAAAACGGGGGCCAGGAATGGACATCATTGTGCACTGGGGGTATCCATGTACCATTCCCTCTTCTCAGGGAGGTGGTCCTGGCTTTAACTTTTTTTGGGTTGGAGTCTTACTCTGTCACCCAGGCTGGAGTGCAGTTTCACACTCATGGCCACTGCAGCCTCAACCTGCTGGGCTCAGGAGATCCGCCTCAACCTTCCAAGTAGCTGGAAATACAGGCATGTGCTACTGCACCTGGCTAATTTTTTGGTTTATTATAGAGATGAAATCTCGCCAAGTTGCCTAGGCTGGTCTTGAACTTGTGGGCTCAGGCAGTCCTCTAGCCTCCAGCTCCCGAAGTGCTGGGATTACAGGCGTGAGCCACGGAGCCCAGCCAATTTTAATATTTAAGCCCAAGAGGAGTTGTTGACTTGCTCACAATCACAACCTGCCACAGCAGCCCTGGGTCAGTGTTACACTCGGTTGCTTCCTGGAGTGAGTTCTGTTCTGATTGGCTCTGGGGAAAAGACGGGGGTTGCCAGGTGGATGCAGAAGGGACAGGAAGTGTAAAGGACAGCCTTCGTGAGGTCATTGAAAGTTAGAATACGTTGCCTTTGGGCACAGTTCCTCTTCCTGGAGATGTCAGAGCAGAGGCTAGACAGCCACTTGGTGGGGATGTTGCAGAAGGGATCCGTCGCAAGCAGGCACCGAGTCCTAAAGTGACCCCACACCGTGTCGAGCTTGTCCGTCTTAGCAGAGCTGGATCCTTCCAGCAGACCCCTGTGGGTCTGTGAGGCATTAGAGCAGCCTTTGGCTGTGAGGGTGTTTCACACAATTCCCATGGAGCCTTGTAGCCCCCACATGAGGGAGGCCATGGCAGCTTTTTGATTCTGGGATAGCAAAGCAAAATAGTCAAAATATTGGCGATGGGGATGCATGCTGATAAGCTGTATCAGAACTCCAGCGGGGAAGCGTGAATACTCAGGAAGAAAGTCTGCATCTTCCAAGTCCCAGAGGGTTTGGCTGGAGTGGACACAGTGGTGCTTCCCCAGAGAGGATTAGACCAGGGGACTGTTTTTAAAGCCTCTGCTAGGAAGATGTCACCTCCAGAACCTCATCCTTTTTTAGGTGACACTGCCCACCCATAACCTTGTCAAGGGAGCATCCTTATGAAGCCCAAAGCCCCCCACGCGTCCCCAGTTGATCAGGTCAGGGTTGAACGCCTGAGCCGAGAGCGGGCAGTGGCAGGTCTCCGAAGTGGCCAGCAGGAAGAGATGCAATGTCAGATTCTGCATTGAGAATTTAAATCGGGAGGAAGCACTAGGGGCATAGAAGCAGAAGTTAAAGTCTGGAGGTTGAGGCCAGAGTTCCTGCAGCAGCCACAAGAGAGGTGAGAGAATTCAGGGAGCAGGCCACTGGCTGGTTGGCTAGGACCCCGTCAGGGATCCACCCTGCCTGCTGACTGGCAGGATTCTGGGGCCCTGGGGCCACAGGAACAGAGCGGTAGCGGGACCCTGGCCCGTCTTACCCTGTCTCCTTATCTGATTACGCTGAGCATCCTGTTCCTTGAAGAACTCCACTTAGGTGATAGGTAATTTTATGTTGAATGAAAATACCACTTGGCACAACAGGTATTAAACACAGGGAAATTGTTATACCCAAAGATGGTGCAGGCCATATTGTTAAATAGAAAAACGTACATTGATATACATGCAGGAATATCCGCATCTAAATAACACAATAAAGTATCTGTGCTCAAATAGACAACTTGAGTGATCTGGGAACCCTTTTAAGCAGAACGCCTTATTCCTTCTGAATGAGGCGCTCCTGTGATAATTGCAAGTTATGATTAGATTGGAGTTGGTGCGCTTGTGACTCAATGGACTGATGCAAATTGAACATGAGCAAAAAGATC